CAAATGCCCTACTTTGCTGGCAAGGTTATAAGATGTATATGGACTCCATTGAAAAGGATTGGTGTGACTGGACGGTGATTAGCAGGTAGGGGCAGTGCTGGAGGGGGGCTCAGGCTAGGGGTTGAACCCTAAGTGAGTTTGGAGTAAACCTCCTCTCCCTGGACCCAACCCCTCCCTTACTCCATTCCTCTACTGCCCTGCAGGCCTTATAGTGAACTTCGGGATTGCTTGGAGCATGAGGCGGAGGAGTTTGGCCTGGGCTTCCCCAATCCCTGGGCAGAGAAGATCATCTTTGATACCCACCTGATTCACTTTGCCAACTGCTCCCTGGTGCAGCCCAGCTTCTCTGATCCCCCGGAGGATGTGCTCTTGGCCATGATCATAGCCCCCATCTGCCTCATCCCCTTCCTTGTCACTCTTGTGGTATGGAGGAGTAAAGACAGTGAGACCCAGGCCTAGGGTAGCCTGAACTTCAAAACCTTCATGTTACTTCTCTCTCCTCCCCTCTCTACCCACTTTTCTCACTCTCATCCCCACTGCAAATCCTTGGATTGGTGGAAATGGAGGTGAGTCAGCATCATGGCACAAGTTCTGTAATCTTCAAAATAAAATTTCTGTTTTTTTGTACAATGTCCCCTACTCCATTCAAGTGGTGCCTGTGTCCACAGTCACTGCCAGTCCCATAGGCACTCAGCTCTGGGTAGAGGAGCTGGAAGACTCTAGATGGCTTCACTATTCTGTTCACTTCACCTGCCCCCACCCTCACATGAAAGCCATACCCCTATAGTCCTTCCTCCCAGGGAGGAGCCTTTCCTGCCCCTGTCCAAACCCAGCTCCAGGAAAGGAGCAGGAAGAGACTCCCTTCCGGTCTGGACAGCAGCTGGGAGCCTGTGATTGGGAATGTGGTGGGGGGAGGGGCAAGGGTAGAATCTTTAGCAAGAAGAAAGGGAGGCTACCTGGAAGCCCCTACTTCTCCCCTTCTTCATGCATCAGTTTACTCCCAGAACCTGGGAAGCAGAAACCTGACAAGCGAAGGGAATCAATCCCTAAGGACCTCCAGATTGATGCCAAAGGCTTCCTCAGTTAGGCTCACCATTCCCGCTCCAGGTCATTGGCTTAGATCCTACAGTGTCCTGGACAGGGTGTGGCCTATAGACTGGCCACACACTGCCCTCTGGTGTCCACTAAACCAACGACCAGAAGATGTATATGATGTGGAAGAAGCTCAAGGCGGAGGAGCATTTGGATCCTGGGGTCAGAGAACTGTCCTCTCTGTAGTAGCCACTGATTTTTAGCTTGATCTTTTATCCGATTCCTGAGACATATCAATATGATATTTCACCTTGATATACTGTTATGCTTTCTAGGCACTTACCTAGCCCTTATATGCAACTCACCATTTCTATTTTTGTTTTGGTTCTGGGGGATTGAATCCAGAGGTGCTTTACCACTGAGCTACATCCTTTTCATTTATTTTTGAGACAGGGTCTCACTAAGTTGCTGAGCCTGACCTCAAATTTGCCATCCTCTTGCCTCAGCTTCCCAAGTTACTGGGATTACCCTGAACTGTCTAACTCACCATTTCTTTTTTTTTAATATTTATTTTTTAATTTTCGGCGGACACAACATCTTTATTTGTATGTGGTGCTGAGGATCGAACCTGGGCCGCACGCATGTCAGGCGAGCACGCTACCGCTTGAGTCACATCCCCAGCCCTCACCATTTTTTATTATTATTATTTTTATATTTTTTAGTTGTAGATGGACACAATATCTGTATTTTATTTATGTATTTTTATGTGATGCTGAGGATTGAACCCAGTACCTCATGCATGTGAGGAAAGCACTCTACCACTGAGCTATAGCCCCAACCCAAACTCACTATTTCTTACATGAACAATGTTTCCTGGTTAATAAGCGTTCTCACTAGGGAATCTTCATCTCCAGCCCTTGCTTGGACTCACCTGCCAGGTCACTAAAAACAACTACAACTTTGTTCTCCATGGAGACACTGTTTATTCCTGTGGCACACTTGGCTACCTTAGAAACTCCTTCTTGTTGAAATATTTGCCTCTCCAAATACATGGGTCATGCCTCTTTATGCCATAGATATATGTCTGTGTTTCCTGGCATGTACCTATTCCCAGAGACATACTTCTTTCAGAAAACACTTGTCCCTATAGAGACATATCTGTTCCCTAAGGATATATATTTTTAAAGATGTTTCTTTTTTTATACCTTTATGTTATTTATTTATTTTTCTGTGGTGCTGAGGATGGTAGTCAGTGCCTCACATGTGCTAGGCAAGCACTGTACCATTGTGCTACAAACCCAGCCCTCCTAAGCTATTGTGAGGTTTCAGCTGAAATAAATATTTGCTGTATCTCTATGAATACAACCGTCTTTCCCAAGAATATGTCTACTTCTTCTTGGCACATATTTGCTTTTACCAAATTTTATTGGTATACATCTGGGGACTATTGGTATAAGACACTGTGTATGGTGTGGCTGTTGGAAAGGTAGGTTAGAATCTGTTCTGCCCTCAGTGGCTCTTATCTAGTGGGAAATTTGACATATGTACACATAAAAATGATGGAATATGTGATGAGAGACATGTAAGCAATACAACCCAAACTTTATTCAAGTGCAAAGGAAGGAGGGAATCACACTTAGCTGAGACAATCACAGGTGTGGTCACAGAAGGGTGTTTGCTGAGTTGGGATATGACAAGGCCTTAGATGGAGTGCATTCTTGAAGGGGAAAGAGTAGAAAGAGATAAATTAGGAAATTATGACAGTAATCCAAGCTTGAAAAATGAAGACATGGCCGGGTGCAGTGGCACACACCTGTAGTCCCAGTGGCTCAGAAGGCTGAGGCAGAAGGATCCTGAATTCAAAGCCAGCCTCAGCAAAAGTGAGATGCTAAGTAACTCAATGAGACCCTGTCTCTAAATAAAATTCAAAATAGGGCTGGGGATGTGACTCAGTGGTCGAGTGCCCATGAGTTCAATCCCTGGTACCCTCCCCCAACAAAAAAACCTCAGGGGAGCAGGGATGAGGTTGTGGCTTGGTGGTAGAGTGCTTACCTAGCACATGTGAGGCACTGTGTTCAATCCTCAGCATCACATTAAAATAAATAAATGAAATAAAGTTAAAAAAAAAAAGGAGTAAACCAGTAGGACTTGGATATGGTGGGGATAAAGGAGAGAGAACTTAGGGGCAACTTAAACATTGAGCTTGAGTTATTATAATGATAGCAGTAATAATAGAAGAGGACCATTAGGAGGAAGAACTGGCCTGAAGAAAAGGATGTGCAATATGAGGAAACAGTGGAACAAGCTGTTATGTCCCACAAAGAATTAGAAATGGGGTTTAATTTGGAAAAGGTTAGATCTGAAAATAGAGGTTTGAGAGTCTTCAGCACAGAAAGGCAATATGAACCCACAGGAGGGATAAGAGCTCTAAGAGATAAGGTGTATTGAAAAGAAGGTTGAGGGCTTGGGGCTGTGGCTCAGCAGTGGAGTGCTGGCCTAGCACTTGTGAGGCCCTGGGTTCTATCTTCAGCTCCACATAAAAATAAATAAATAAAATAAAAGTATTATGTGCAACTACAACTAAAATAAATAAATAAATAAATAAATAAATAAATAAAGAACCTCCAAGGAAATGTCCACCTTTGAAGAATGAAGGGAAAAATGGAGACAGAGATAAGATCAAAGAGGTAGTCATAGAAAAAAGCATCAAAGAGGCCAAGAAAATGGTGGTCTCTGAAGAAGCTGATAAATTCATTCATTCAGCAAATATTTGTTGATTGATTAGGGTTGGGGTTGTGGCTCAGCAGTAGAACGCTCGCCTAGCATGTGTGAGGCCCTGAGTTCGATCCGCAGCACCACATAAAAATAAATAAATAAAGATATTGTGTCCAACTAAAAAATAAATATTAAAAAAAGAATTAAAAAATATTTGTTGATTGCTCTGTGGACCATAAACTATGCCCAATGATGGACTGGTGTGAAATAAAGGTTAAAGATCAGACAGGAGGGGCTGGCGATGTGGCTCAAGCGGTAGCGCGCTCGCCTGCCATGCGTGCGGCCTGGGTTCGATCCTCAGCACCACATACCAACAAAGATGAGGTAACAGGATCAAGGGTATGCATATATTTAAATAGGGATGGCCTAAACATGTTTGTGTCCTAAAGGAAAGAAACCAGGGAAAAGAGAGACAGAGAGAGACAGAATATTAAAGAGAAGTCCTGAAGGAAGTTGGAAAGGTGAGGTGAGAAGACAGGTCTAAGGGTGACTCTTGTAAAAGAAGGAGTAAAAGTGGTGAGGAATCTTTGTATGAATCAAATATAGTGACAAAGAGAGAACGATTAAAGGGTTCACATGCCTGACCTCAAACTCATAAAATAGGGAAAAAAGAGGATGGGGGTGGGGGGCATAGAGCAACAATTCTGGTTTGGGAACTGACCAACTGTGTAAGGAGGCAGATAACATCAAAAGGGTTCCTGGAACTTGAGACTAGGAGGTTGAGGACTAGGGTGAGGTGAGAAAGATAGCAGCTCTGTCTTTGGAAGCAGAGCTGTCTCTAGTGATACAACTTACAAAGTTCTCCTACTGGGAGACTGAGGAACGGTGGAGTCAAAGACACAGGAATCAAAGAGACTGTAAAATCGTGGGGAGTTTTAATTAAATGGTAACTGACATGCATGTTAATATTAAAAGATGCGTAGTACAGTGGAACTAAGTCTAGAGACCTGGGTTCTACTGGTGTTCTACTAACAAACTATGCTGCGTTGGGGAACTCACTCCCCTTTTCTGACATCGAACCAGAAGACTTCATAAGGCTCTTTCTGGTCTAAAAGATAAAGCTTTTAAGGATAATGGCAGAGGACTGGCCGATGACAGAATGCCCTTCCGTGGGGCCGTCAGTCTCCTAGAAAGGTGTCCGGAACCTTTCTGCTGTGCCTCATGCCCGGAAGTGCTGATGCGGATGCCGGAAGTCCTGTGTGCGGAGGTTCCGTGTTTTCTGGGCTACTACGATGGCGATGAGTTTCGAGTGGCCGTGGCAGTACCGCTTCCCGCCCTTCTTTACGTGAGGCTGGGACCCCGAGAAGCCCCGCTGTACCTTCCCGGCTCCTCCCCGGGGCCCTGGGCTCAGCCCTGATGCATCACTTGGGTGGGGGGTGTAGAAAGGATCCAGCCGCTATCATTCTTAGTTCCCCACTTTTCTCCTCCAGACGCGCCCAGGGGCAAGTGCTGCCTCTAGCGTCCTGTAATTCTGCACCCTACTCCCTCCACCCGGCAGGTTACAGCCGAACGTGGACACTCGGCAGAAGCAACTGGCTGCTTGGTGCTCGCTGGTCCTGTCTTTCTGCCGCCTGCACAAACAGTCCAGCATGACGGTGATGGAAGCGCAGGAGAGCCCACTCTTCAACAACGTCAAGCTACAGCGTATCCTCCCTCAGGCTCTTCTACAGCCCACACACATGCACTTCCACACTTTTCCACAAGTCCGGACTTCACCTCCCTCCCACTTTCCCCACATTAGGTAGGTTTCTACCCAAACTGAACTTGGAAAACAGCGAGAGCCTTCGTTTTACCTCCCAGGTGTAGTACCAAACCCTCTGTCCTTGACAGCGATTAGTGCTCCAATCTTAGAATCTCTGCCTTGAAGCCAGATGCCAAGCTTTTCAACCAGATCCCATTTTGACAATTTAAATCTTCTCTGTGTGAGACTCAAACTCCATACTATCTTTAATAATTTTCTCCACACCCCCCACTTCTCTGAAGTGAGGATCATTTGTTTTTGCTGCCTGATTCACCCCTTAAATATCTATGGAGAGAGGATGAAGAAAGATGAGAACACAGGATGAGGAACAGTAGTACCTTTCATTTTCAAAAGCTCTTTTTTCTAACTGGAATTTTTTTTTAACCTTTCTTCCTAGAATATCTAATTTGTGAGGGGGAAAAAAATGTCAGAATATCCAGGAAATGCCTTTTTGTTGTTGTTGTTATTGTTGTTGTTCTAGAGATTGAACCTTGTCATGCTTAACCACTGAGCCATATCCCTGTCCTTTTTATTTTTTATTTTGAGACAGGCTCTTCCTATGTTATAGAGGCTGACCACGAACTTACAATCCTCCTGCCTCAGTCTCCTAAATTGCTGAGATTATAGTTGTGTATTCAAATCCAAATATATCTTGTTCAGAAATTGCAAGCATGTTTGTGGGGAGAGGAAAGGAAGGTGGTTCTTAGCATGGGATTAGCTCTGAGAGTTATTATCCAACCCAATTCAAATGTATGCCTTTCCCTTAACCTTAAACCAGGGAAACTTCCTGTGGAATCAATTCAGATTGTGTTAGAGGAACTAAGGAAGAAAGGTGGGTTCAAGTCCCCAGATTTCTTATTTTTCCTCTTACTTGGGTTTTCCTGAGGGCAGATTAGGACATATCTTTTCCCTTTAATAACTTTTCTGTCCCTTGCCTGCAAGCCCAGAGCATTCTGTACGGTAGACAACCTCGTTCCTGAGTCTTTCCCCTCATTTGTGTACAAAATTGAAATGTCTGAGATGGGCTAAGGAGAATGGGTGCCTTGTAGATAGTAAAATATTATTCTGAAAGCAGTCTCTTCCACTGTATCCCACCCTAGTAGTCCTCCTTGTTCTTTTTTTTTAATATATATTTATTTTTTAGTTGTAGTTAGGCACAATACCATTATTTTATTTATTCATCTTTATATGGTGCTGAGGATCAAACCCAGGGCCTCACATGTGCCAGGCATGTGTTCTACCTCTGAGCCACAACCTCGGCCTTCCTTGTCCCTCTTATAGAGCATGATGCATTCATAAGTGTCTGTTTTTACAGGGAATCTCGAGTGGTTGGATAAGAACAAGTCTAGCTTCCTGATCATGTGGCGGAGGCCAGAAGAATGGGGGAAACTCATTTATCAGTGGGTGAGACCATCTTGCTGCCAAGTACTAAGAAGTGACCCATGGCAAAAGAAAATTTTACCTGTGCCCAAACAGATATCTTGTATTCCCAGATCCAGACTTGGCAAAGTGGGAAAGGGACAGAGAGAGGAAGTGTAGGCCTTCCATGCAAACACCCTCAGTGACTCAATTTCTCTGGCTCCATAGAACCTCCCTTTCTTTGGCTGTAGGAGGCCAGAGGGTACATGAGGCCATGTTTAGAGAATGCAGTACTGGGAACTATAAGTGCTATTGTGGGCTGGAGCCTCTGGCCACAGGAGATAAATGGGGAAAGGAAAGGGTGGTGGTCGGGGGAGAACCTGGGGCCCTTCCCCCACTGCACTCTTATGGAGCTATCCACATGAATGAGGCTTTCTGAAGGAGTGTGGGTTTAGGGACAGAATACACTCTCTCCCCAAATTCCTAGCCACCACCAACCCCAAACATTCCCAAGGGAGAAAGGAGAGGAGGAAGCATCAACAACCCAAATATAACAAGCACACACCACCCATTCCTGAAACAGGAAAACAACCAGAGTGAGAGGTCATACTCCAGGCACGTGAAGGCCTGTGGTTTAGTGGTTTTAAATGTGTGTGTACATATATAAATATAGCAACTGTTGGATTGTGGGTTTTGGGCCACTCTGCAGAAGTGACCATAAGTTCTGGATTGGGAATAAGTACCATTCATGGATGAAAGCAGTAGAGCTGTGAATTTACCTTCTCTCAGGAGTCTCTTAATTCTTATTTAACCTCATTTTCTGTGTCTACAGGTTTCCAGGAGTGGCCAAAATAACTCTGTATTTACCCTGTATGAACTGACCAATGGGGAAGACACAGAGAATGAGGGTAAATGCCTTTTCCTTCTTCAATTTTATCATCAGAAACCTCCTCTCTCCAATCCTACTTTGATACTCAGACTTCCCATTTCTATGCCTCTGAATTCCACAATACAAAAGTTCTTAACCCATATCCAAAGATTTCATACAAAAAAACTCGAATCCAAACCCCGCCCCCAAACCCTAGTATTGTTTATGGGGGTTTATGTGCTTTTTATTTTTGGTTCCAGGGATTGAACCCAAGGGCACTTAACCACTGAACCATATACCTAACCCTCTTTTTTTTTTTTTTTTTTTTTTTTTTTTGTGGTGCTGGGGATTGAACCCAGGGCTTTGAGCATGTGAGGCAAGTACTTTACCAACTGAGCTATATCCCTAACTCCCTAACCCCTTTTTTATATTTTATTTAGAGACAGGGTCTCACTGAGTTGCTTAGGATTTTGTTAAGTTGCTGAGGCTTGTTTTGAACTCATGATCCTCCTGCCTCAGTCTCTCTGGCTGCTGGGAGGCAGGAGGATCGTGAGTTCAAAACCAGCTGCCTCTCCCTAGCTGCCACCATGCCTGGCTATATGTTCATTTTTCTAGGGATAGAGTTAACATTACAAGATTTCCAGGGCATGTGTTACCCATGAAAAGTTAAGAATTACTGCTGTAGATGCCAGTTGAGGAGCCAGCATGGGGGATTAAGCCTAAACTCTTGTTCCTTGCTGACTCAGGCTCTCTTTCACCCTTTATTCTTTTAGAGGGCTCAAGATTTGTGGGTGTCAGCTAAAGGAATTGGGCCAACACCCCCAGCCCCACCCCCAACCCATTTAAATACTTTGGGTTTTGGCCAGGCAAGGATTTGTATTCTCTTTGATTTTTACATAGTGTAAACACTTTCTTAGTTCTTTTCTCTCTGACTCCTTATCCTGATCCCCAGGATCACAAACATTCCAGTCTTTACTGGGGCAACAGGGGGTACCTCCCTTTCTCTTAGCTCCTGGATGCATCAGCAGAGTTTACTACTCTTGGCTGTTCTACTGCCCTGCAGGCCTCTGCTTGCTACTCCCACCATCACCCCATGACTTCAGTGCTGTAGCCTGGCCCAGTCCATCATTCAGGCTGGGCAAAGCTGGAGCCTTCTTCTGAATGCAGTCTCCCTGACTTGAGCTGGGCCCATGCAGGAGGTGAGGTGAGCAAGCCTGTCAGGGCTTGCCTGGTGCCTCTCACATTTCCCTGCAATATCTTTCCATATCTCTATACTCAGCTGGCCTTTGGCTCCTAGCTCTGTCCCTTTCAACTAAGAAGGATATCAGTGCTGGACTTTAACAGTCTCTAGTGAGGGCTAGTGGCTGTACTTTTTTGTGTTAAGACAGACCCTAATTTGTTCAAATATGCAGTTAGAGTCAGTATCTGGTGACAAGGGCCCTGACTTCCAGAGGGCTGATTGGCAGGGCCCCTTCTTTGTGCCCCAAAAGCAGATGGTATCACTCATGTGCATCAGACACTAATGGGAGCAAGGGACAGGAGGGCTGAGGGGGGTGAGGTTACAGGAGAACCAGGGAGGGGGAAATAAGCCTGAACTCACTTTTTGCTAACTTAAGCTTTCTTCTGCCCTTACTTTTTTTTTTTTAATATAGTGATAATGGGTATATTAATTTGCTTGATTGCAACAATCATTTCACAATGCACATGTATATAAAAATATCAAGTTGTACAACTTATACAATTTTTATGTCAGTGATATCTTAATGAAGTTGTTATAAATAAAAATGTTAGTAATGCCCACAACATTCAGAACTCCATAATAGGGAAGACTGGCAGATAGATATAATCTCTGAATTTTGCAACAGGGGTAAGATTAGGGGAATGGGAGGTGATTTATCAGGTATTGTCCTTAAGAAATGGCCTGCCACCCTGACTCTTAAGGAGTGCCCAGTAAATGTGGGTGGCGTATGCAGCAGTGTAGATGGCATGTGCATACCCTGGCTCTGGAATGTCTCAGTTTCCAGTTTGGCTGTTCTCCTCAGTGCACCTAGGAACTGAACCTCCCTAATTGCCCATCTCTTCTTGTCCAGAGTTCCATGGTCTGGATGAGGCAACCCTACTTCGGGCTCTGCAGGCTCTACAGCAGGAGCACAAGGCTGAGATCATCACCGTCAGCGATGGCCGTGGTGTCAAGTTCTTCTAGAAGAGACTTGTCTCTCTTTACTTCTTACCTCCCACCCTTCTAGGGCTTTCAAAAAAAGACAGACTTAGTATCCCCACAGACTGGATCTGTGAATCCACTAGATTTAAAAGGGCTCTAGTCCTGAAGGCTGAGCCCCAGGGATGAGTATCCTGCTACCCCATATGTCTGTCCCTGGGATGGGTGAGTCCAAGGTGCCAAGGAGAAAAGATATGCTTCTTTGTGCCGTACCTCCTCTCCCATCCTAGACTGTCCCTGAGCCAGGGTCTGTAAACCGACACTTTACATGTGTCCACACAAGTAAATACATATACATATGCACCTGCACAAGTTTCTGTCTCCACCTTCCCACCATTTGCTACTGTTGCCTCCTTTCTCAGGCTGATGCTTGGTCCTTCCTAGGGAATGAGAAGCCCTGGCTGCAGGCAGCCTTCCAGGCAATATGAAGATAGGAGGCTCCAGAAGGGACCTGGCCATGAGAGGCAGGTCTGACCCTGATTTATGATATTAAAATCTTAAATCTTACTGCCTGCATGTTAAGTCACTGTTGAAATGAGGTTGGAGAGGGCTGTAAGGTGTTCCGCCTGAGTTTCAGCCCAGGGGAAAAAAGAAGGCCTGTGGACTGGGCCCAGGAGGCTCCAATGAGCTTATGGTTTTGCATCTGTTGTGTGGGCTGTGTGGATTGCTGATGGAACACAGCTTGAGGAAAAACTGCTTGATCTCTGAAATGGAGTGGCATAATGGCTCCCTCTTCCCTCACCATCTCCCGCATGAAAATCCTGAACTACTCTGAAGCCCGTCCCTCCACTCATCTGGTCTGGGTGGGGTGGTTATGGCCAAGAGGAGCTGAGGGGGGTAAACCGGATGTGGACTTCGGTTTATTGGAGACTTTGGCAAACAGAAGGAGGAGGAAGGAGCCCACAGCAAAAACAGCCACTCTGGCCAGGACCAGGCTGCGGCCAAGGTGGGGTAGAGTGGATGAGTGATTAAGCCCTTGGTTTAGAGGAGGGCCTTGTCCTGGGTGCTCACACCCATCCTTGTGCATACCAGAAGGACAACAGAGTTGGAGAACCATACTTTTCCACTGACCTCTATGTTCGGCCTGGGGCTACTCCAGATGATTAGAACCGAGCAGTGTTTCCTTATCTGGGGTGTGCAGGCGGGTAGTGGCCTCCCCAAACCACCCCACACACACTACGGTCCGGCCCCGGAGCCTTTCTCTGTTTGCTCCAGTGTCGTCCAATCCCCGCCCACTGCCACACCCCCTTCCCCCCCCAAAAATAAAAACAGGTTTGCGCACGCAGTGCGGGAGAACACACTGCCGCCTTACACTCCGCCCTTGCCAGGAATTGAGGTAGAAGGCTAGTGCTCAGAGACCGCACGCAGAGGGGGTGCACTGGCAGCAGCTGAGGCTAGGAGGGATGCACTGCAGGCTCTGAACCGCGCGGTTCACTGCTGGGAGTGGACCGCCCTGGGGGGTAAGGGGGGGCGGGCGCAAGGCGGGGCCGGGGGCGGGGCCGCGAGTAGGCAACCCGGGCTTGGGGCCCCTACAGTTCAACCGGATTAGCTGCGCACCCAGCTGGTCAGCCTGTCAAGCTGCCTCCTCCTCGGTCATCTGGCTTGGTCAGCGGCGCTCGGTCCTTCCCCATGCTGGCACCCCGGACCACGGAGAACGCGGTCCCCATGTCCCAGACCGAGGCTGACCTAGCTCTGCTGCCCCCGCCGTCTCTCTCCACTACGGGGCCACCCCGCATCGGGCCCCCTCCTCGCAGAGCACGCCGCTTCTCCGGGAAGGCTGAGCCCCGGCCTCGCTCTTCCCGTGTCACCCGCCGCAGCTCAGTCGACTTGGGTCTGCTGAACTCTTGGTGCCAGCCAGCGACACCCGTTCCGGAACCTCCTGATCCTCCTGACTTTGCTCCTCCAGGCCCCTCGAGTAGCCCACCACCTTGCTTCAAAGAGTTCCCCGAGGGCACGCGGACCGGGGCAGCCCCTGTGAAGACTGTGGATTCAGTGCATCCCGGATCTGCAGGAGGCTCACGGTCTGGGGAGCCGCCGAGAGTCTCAGATGCCGCAGCCCGGGAGCGACAGCGGGAGCAAGAAGAAAAGGAGGACACAGAGACCCAGGCTGTGGCAACATCCCCAGACGGCCGATACCTCAAGTTTGACATTGAGATTGGACGTGGCTCCTTCAAGACAGTGTATCGAGGGCTAGACACTGACACCACGGTGGAGGTGGCCTGGTGTGAGCTGCAGGTGCGGCTGGGTGCCCCCTCTGTGGCACCTCGGGATGGGACCTTTTGGAGGTATTAGGATGGGAGACTGGGCAGACAGCATCAAGGGAAGGATGTATTTTTCCTGCTGAATGCCCAGAAATCCCTGCCCTTACTGAGATATCTGGCTGACTGGTTGGACTCAGGAGAAACAGGCAGATAGTATATAGTAGCTCCCCAAGGGGCATGGACATTCTCATTTTAAAATCTCTCTGCAAATCCCTGAGAGTTGGAAATTAGGATGGGAAATAGGATGGGGGAGCCAGTTCAGATCTGGGAGGGGACACCCTACCAATTTCCTTCCCTGAATACCCACAATCTTTCCCCATCGTTTCTCTGTAAGTCCTGAGACTTTCCGTTGTGACCCTGAGCCTTTTGCTCCCCCTTCTCCTCTGCTGAACAAAAGACTGGGATGCTAGAGATCAGGAGATGGGTCAGGGTCCTCTCCTCTCCATCTCCAGAAGGATTTAGGGCAGTTTCCACAAAATGGCTCTTTCCCAGGCTGCTTCTGGAGTAGTGGGGAAGGTCTGTGGACAGGAAGCTCCAGCCTTGGCCTGAGTTTCAGTCCTGCTTCTCATCCCTCTGCCTACCTGGGTTCTTTCTTACCAGACCCAAAGGCTCTAAGCTCTTGGACTTCAGGAAGATGTTGGTTGGCAGAACTTTCTTCCTATTGCTACTCTTCTACATATGCATGGGGAGAACCCAGTTGACTCTGGTCAGAAGCTTCAGATTCAGATTGGGGGACAGAACCTGGAGGAAGGTTCCCTTCACTTTGGCCCTGGCACTGGGTTCACCTCTTGCGCCTGCCAGTGCCGCGCCCCAGGCTCTAGGCCAGGCCAACAGAGGAGGCCAAACCCGGGTACGGGAGGGAGAGGAGAGGGGGGCGGGGCAGCCATGGTGGTGGTGGGGAAGGGCTCCTGGGAGTTTTTCGACCTCTATACGTCCCTCTGCAACCTCCGCCTTCTGTCTGAATCTAGCAGTTCCCAGTATCTGGGGCCAAACCCTTGCCGGCCCCAATTCCCTGCCTGAGGTCCGCCTGCTGCCAGCCCCCGAGGCACCCCTCCCGCCCCACGACAGGCCCGGGCGGCCACAAAGGCGCTATTGAGCTCAGGGCTCCTGGACCGGGCTGCATAAAGGCGCTTGTGTCCACCAGGGGGTCCAAGGGGCGGCCCCAGGCCTAGGATGGGTGTGTTCTTGGAGCAAACCTAAGGGACTGACAAGGAGTTTGGGTCTACAGTCCGTTGGGCTAACTATCCCATCATCCCGACCCCATCCATGGGCTCCATCACTCTTTCCCCCTGCTCCACTCTAGGTGCCCCATCCTTCTCTGGGCTTAATGGGATCCCATTCGCCATTCCACAGACTCGGAAACTGTCTCGGGCTGAGCGGCAGCGCTTCTCCGAAGAGGTGGAGATGCTCAAGGGGCTGCAGCACCCCAACATCGTCCGCTTTTATGACTCCTGGAAGTCGGTGCTGAGGGGCCAGGTTTGCATCGTGCTGGTCACAGAACTCATGACCTCGGGCACACTCAAGACGTGAGCTCTGGCCGGGGTGGGAGGGAAAGGGTGGAACATCTCCTCACTGTCACCCCACTGCTTCCTGAACTTTCCCAGGTTGCACAAAGTTTTTACATCCAGGTCCAAAACCAGGCTCACCGTCTCCCATCCAACCTACCTATGTTCCTGCCTGGATGAATAGCAATGTCCACCCAGGACTTCAGTCAAAATCTTAGGTGTCTTCCCAGACATCTCTCTCTCTCTCTCTCTCTCTCTCTCTCTCTCTCTCTCTCTCTCTCTGCTACACCCTCACCTTCATCAGTACAGTCTCCAAGTTCCTCCTCAGTATCTCCACACTGGGCTTTTCCCACCCCATCCTTCCCTGCAGCAGTATCCTAAAGGGCCTCACTTGGCTCTGCCCTCCCTCGGAGCTTTCCTAACTTCCTGCAACCTGGAGGATCTTTCCTAGGTTTCCCATGTCCCTGGAGGTAATGTCCATACTGGTTAACCCATTTCCAAAATCTTTAGGATTCAGCCTCCTCTGCTTTCAGCCAAAGATCCAGACTTCCAGAATTCTCAGGAACTCCTCCCACCCTCCCCTGTCACTTGCTTTGTCCCTTCCTTTGAGGGCAGTGTCCTCTCTGCCTGGAAAGTCTCCATCCCTTACCCTTTTCACACTTGAACTTCCTTTCCTGTAAGATACAAAAGTTTTTCCTCTGTGAAGCTTTCCTCCATGCTTGGGACAGTTAGTCATCCCTTCCCACAAACACTTTGGCTGTGACCCTATCTATTTATCATCAGACCCATTTTGTAATCTCATGGCTATCTACCACACCCAATTTAAGTTTCTCCCAGGGACCTAGTGTGGAGCTAAGCTAGAAAAAGGCTGGTAGAAGGTGCAGAGGCAAGGGTGGGATGAAGGGGAACTTCTCAGTGGGAGCCCTTCCCCTGCTTACTTTTCCTGCACCACTGCCCTGGTTATGCACCCTTTCCCAGGTACCTGAGAAGGTTCCGCGAAATGAAACCAAGAGTCCTTCAGCGCTGGAGCCGCCAAATTCTCCGGGGACTTCATTTTCTACACTCCCGGGTCCCCCCTATACTGCACCGGGATCTCAAGTGTGACAACGTCTTCATCACAGGCCCTACAGGCTCTGTCAAAATCGGGGACCTGGGCCTGGCCACACTCAAGCGTGCCTCCTTCGCCAAAAGCGTCATTGGTGCGTCCTTCCAGGAGGGTCCTTGCCATTAATATCTCCCCCACCTCAGAAGAGAAATGGGATCCTCCCTTCCCCAGCAGAGCTTTACAGATACACGAATTAGGAGCCCACCGGGGAATTGGGGAGACCTATGGCATCCCTCCCACACACATTATAGGCAAGGGTTGGTCACTTGCATTTCAGAACTCCTGGGTTTGCCCCTGCACTTCCTAGCCCATGATATGCCCATGTGGAGGGATGAGGTCAGAAGGAAGATTTGGCAGCCTGATCCTTGTTGTGGATCCTACAGGGACCCCGGAATTCATGGCCCCCGAGATGTACGAGGAAAAGTACGATGAGGCAGTGGATGTGTACGCGTTTGGCATGTGCATGCTGGAGATGGCTACCTCAGAGTATCCCTATTCAGAGTGCCAAAATGCTGCGCAAATCTACCGCAAGGTCACTTCGGTGAGAGGGGTGCGGCTAGGGGAGAAGGGATTCCAGATGCTCCTCTCATTTTCCTGCCCCAGCTAGCCTGTGGTCAATGCCCTTTCCCTTCACAAAGAAAAAGATACCTTAGTGAACACTTAAGAATATTGGATGTACAATGCCTTCCCCAATCCCCGCAAGCTAATAATATTAATAATATATCTAGGGTTCCCAGAATTTTACAAAGGATTTCATATCCATTCTCTTATCCAGTCTTTCTAGCTGCTCTGCAAGTTGAGGGAGGCAAATGTTCTATCCTTCATGTTACAAATAAAACAGTCAGTCTTGTTCAAGGTCACACTGTTAATAATGGAGGAACTTTTAATTTTTTTTTCCTGGTGCTAGGGATTGAACCCAGGATCTAGTGCTTGCTTTGCTGAGCTACACCCTCAGCCCTAAGGACTAGGATTGGAATTAAAATCTTCTAGTAGTAGTCGCCAAGCTTTGGTGAATGCCTGCACTGCTGCCCGCACTGGAGCTGGGGTGTGTGTTGGGGGGTGTCTAGCAGAAAGCTGAGGTGTGGAGGACCGGAGACGTCAAGCAACCCCTTCTCCTAGGGTACAAAACCGAACAGCTTCTACAAAGTGAAGATGCCCGAGGTGAAGGAGATCATTGAAGGCTGCATTCGTACCGATAAGAATGAGAGGTGGGGTACCGGGAAGAGCTGGGTGGGGAAGAGGTGCAAACACTGTCGGGCTCAGCTCACCGCCGAACCACTCACAGGTTCACCATCCAGGATCTCCTGGCCCACGCCTTCTTCCGTGAGGAGCGCGGTGTGCACGTGGAGCTGGCGGAGGAGGACGACGGCGAGAAACCCGGGCTCAAGCTCTGGTTGCGTATGGAGGGCGCGCGACGCGGGGGGCGCCCGCGGGACAACCAGGCCATTGAGTTCCTTTTCCAGTTGGGCCGGGACGCGGCAGAGGAGGTGGCACAGGAGATGGTGAGCGGAGGTCAGACTGTGCTGTGGCTGAGCGTGTAAAGGGCGGGTTGGCATTGACCAGAGGGACCCTGAAGCGGAAGGAGGTGGTCTCTCCCCACTTTTGTGGCATCTCCTACAGGTGTCTCCCTGCCTCTCCTGTCCTAATGCACCTGCAAACACATTCAGTGTTTCTTTCCAGAAAAAGCCTGGATTCTCTAATTCCCCTGCTTTAGCTCCTGCAGATGTGTTTATCTTGGAAAGCCCTTTACCTATTTTCCCTTTCCACCTTTCCCCTCCCCCATGCTTTTCTTCTTTTTCCCCCCTCCTCCTTTCTGTATATGCAGAACCCTCGGTTTCACTAAGGCTTCCCCTCTAGAATCAAAATTAAAAGCTTCTTTCCATGGCAGTGCATCCTTGAGTAGCCCTCAAGCTGTGGGTCTAGTTGTATGGATACATTCTGGTCTTTCTCCTCCATTAGATTATAAACTCCTTGAGGACAGAGACTGTCACCCCCGCCCCTATCCATGATAGTGTTTGGCATGTGGTAGCCTACATTTCTATATGGTTTAAAGTACTTTAAAATGCATTTGATCATTGCTACCAATCCTACAGGAAGAGTAATTTTATCCTAACTTATTGATGAGGAAACGGAAGTTCAAAGAGGTTGAATATCTTGTCCAAGATGCCAAGTAAGTGGCAAATCTGGATTTAAACTCAGGTAGTTTAAATTTGCAGTCAGATCACCTGTATTTACTACCTCTACTCACCCAACAAATTTAACAGTTGAAATTAATGAGGAGGAAAGAAGAGGGATGAATAGATGCTGGTGGAAGAGGGTGTGTGTGAATAAATGGAGGTTGAAGATGCCAGGGCAGAAACATGGGGAGAGATTTAGGAAGGCTTGAGTAGGGGAAAGGGAGAGAGGATGGGATCTTCAATAGAGAAATGGCAGTTGCTAAGGTGAGGATCATTGAAGGTGGGTGAAGAACCTGAGACAGTTTGAATGTGGCATAACAGCAGCTCTTCACAGCACAGCCCAATATGATCTGACATCAAACCCTACTTGAGTAGGTACAAGGGATTCTTGACTTTGGCACTACTGACATTTTGTGTTGTTCTGTGCATTGTAGGATGTTGAAAGAATCCCTGGCTTCTACTTACTAAGTGCAGTAGCATCTACATTGTAGTTGTGATGATTAAAAATGTTTTGCAGCTGGGCATTGTGGCACATGCCTATAATCCCAATGATTGGATAGGTTAAGGCTGGGAGATCATAAGTTTGAGGCCAGCCTCAGCAATTTAGCAAGACCGGATCTCAAAATGAAAAGTAAAAAAGGGCTGGGGGTGTGGCTCAGTGGCAAAGTGCCCCTGGGTTCAATCCTCAGTACAAAAAAAAGACTCTAGATTTTGTCAAGCTCTCCCCCTATAAGAGCCACTGACTTACATGAACTGGTCACTCAATTTTTTTTTCTCTAAAATGGGCTGATAAGACCTATCTCACAATGTTATTGGAAGGACTTAATGATGACAATGTTAAGGAGTTGCCAATTAATGGACATAGTGACTAATCAATAAATGGTTCTCTTCCTCCCTTATCCTCAAGATGTCCCGCTGGATCTTCGAGGGGGATCCCACACTGTCTTCCTCATTCTTCCAATTCCAGGTAGCCCTGGGGTTGGTTTGTGAAGCTGATTACCAGCCAGTGGCCCGTGCGGTACGTGAACGGGTTGCTGCCATCCAGCGAAAGCGTGAGAAGCTTCGAAAAGCTAGGGAGTTGGAAGCTCTCCCACCTGAGCCAGGACCTCTGCCAGCAACTGTTCCCATGGCTCCTGGTCCCTCAGTTGCCTTCCCCCTAGAACCTGAGGAGCCAGAGGCAGACCAGCACCAGTCTTTCCTCTTCCGCCATGCCAGCTACTCATCTACCACTTGTAAGTCATGTCTGATGGTGGACCTAGGTCAACTCTGGCTCTCTGCACCCCACCTACAAGTTCAACCCAGAAGCACTGTCACTCATCCTGCCTTCCACCCCAGCCATGAAGCTCCCTCTGGGAAAGAACTCTCCACAGCTCCCTCTTTGCACTAGACCCCTGTGCTCAGACAGGGCCTCTTCTCTGCCACCACTTCCCTTTATTTTTTTGATTCCCTCCCTCCCTCACTAGCGGATTGTGAGACTGATGGCTACCTCAGCTCCTCTGGCTTCCTGGATGCCTCAGACCCTGCCCTTCAGCCCCCTGGGGGGGTGCCATCCAGCCCCGATGAGTCCCATCTCTGCCTACCCTCGGTGAGAAGGGATTACATGGGGGCTCCCAGCCATTCCAAGCTTATGACCTATCTCTCTCCTTGAAAGCCCAACCCCCTAACCTGTCCCCATGTCCTGGAAATTCACTACTTTTGTCCTTACCTTCCCCAATTCCCTATCCCTACTATCCTCCCAACATCCTTGCTGTGGTCTCTCTGGATCTCAATAGTTATCTTCCCCTGACCTCATGAACCCTTATCCTATTTCAGGCTTTTGCCTTGTCCATTCCATGTTCTGGTCCTGGCAGTGAGTTTTCTCCTGGGGACAGGTATGTTTTGGAATGAGTTGGGGTGCCAGGATGAGATATTTGGAACTCTGGGGTCCCATTGTCTACACAGACTCTTCCATCTCCCTTCCCTTTTCCAGCTATGCCTCAGATGCAGCATCAGGCCTCAGCGACATAGGAGAAGGGATGGGACAGATGAGGAGACCTCCAGGGAAGAATCTCCGGCGTAGACCCCGATCCCGGCTAAGGGTCACTAGTGTAAGAAAGAACATGGAGAATGACCTACAGGGCTAGGAGGGCACTTTCAGTGGATGGGGAAGGTCAGCCAAGAAAGCAGAATAATGTAAATGACTAGCCATGAAGCAACTAGTCTAGTTTCTAATACTAGACTTTGGGGGTAGAGTCTACTTCTCTCCAAGTCCAGTCTGGCACTGCCGCTTGGTTGGAGTAGAGTAGGAACACATGATGAAGACAGAGGCACTGACCACGTCCCCTCTCCTGACTTTGACTCTGAAGGTCTCAGACCAGAATGACAGAGTGGTCGAGTGCCAGCTACAGACTCACAACAGCAAGATGGTGACTTTCCGATTTGATCTGGATGGGGACAGCCCAGAAGAAATTGCAGCTGCCATGGTGAGGGGGGTGAGAGAGATAAGGACAGAGTATATGCATCTGGGAAAAAAAGAGTCTCCCTCCTGATGTGTATTGGTACTGAAATGCCTGATCCCACAGCAAGGGGAATGAATATAAAACCCTGCTTAGCATTGAGCACAGTGACTCTGAAGACATCTCAGCATTTGTTTTGGGGAAGATTTCTGTTTATCTGGTCAGGATTGGCTCCTCAGCTGGAGCTATTTGGGACTGGGTGTACACAAGTGCTGCATGTGAACTGCGTGCTAGATGTGATACTGTGGCTGTAAGAAAAGCATGGATGGGCAGCAGTGGAACAAGTGGGGCTTACCCAAAGTCTTGAAAGATAAATAAGAAAGGAAAGGAGGGTATGCCTAGCTGGAGGTGCAGCAAAAGCAAAGGCATTCCAAGTAGGGAGTCACTTGGAGTATGGGGCTGTGAGGACATCATGAGGCAACTACTGTCACTGGAAGTAAATGCTATAAGAAAATTATGGGATGTAGAGGTGGGTTTGGAGTGGGCACAGATTATAGATGGTCATAAGAGTTACGCAGTGTGTAATACAATAAGAGAAGGTTTTGAAGAATGAAGACTATTCTGCCATAGAATGTGGGAGGGGACTACAGGTAGAGAATCCAGCTAGAAGGTAAACACAAGAAGCCAGATGTGGCTGGGTGTGGTGGCACATGCCTATAATCCTAGTGACTCAGGAGGCTGAGGCAAGAGGATTGCAAATTTCAGGTCAGCCTCAGCAATTTAGTGAGTCCTTGTCTCAAAAAATAAAAAGGGTCGGGATCATGGCTCAGCAATAGAAAGCTCCTGGGTTCAACCCCCAGTGCAAAAGAAAAGAAAAGAAAATCTAGATGTGGATGAAGGAGAAGATGGATTATAGAGATGGGAAAAGAAGGAGTAAATCTGAGGGTTGTTTCAGGAAATTAGTAACCTGTTGATATAGTACAGTGAAGGTAATAGATGTCCAATAAATATTTGCTGAGTTGATATGATAGAGAGTTAGGGAGGGGTGATGTCAAGGGCGACTTGTAGCTTGGCAGAACTAAGAGGAGCAGGCCACCCAGAGAGAGAGAGAGAGAGAGAGAGAGAGAGAGAGAGAGAGAGAGAATGTTAAAAGCAGGCTTTTAAGGGGCTGTATTGAGCTTGAGTGACAGCCAAGATAAGATCCTCCATAGCAACAGGATATGGGTTGGACTGGCCCTGGCAGTGAGTTTTCTCCTGGGGACAGGTATGCTTTGGAATGAGAGGTGGGTTCAGAAGTCATCAGTACAGAGTTGAGATTGAAGAAAGATGGGCCTGCAAAGTCAGAGACATATAGGACTTGAGTGCATCTCAGTGGATACCACCTGTTCTAGAAGGGGGAAACTAAGTTATTAAAGGGCATGGAGATGGAGCCAAAGAGGTAGGAAGATGTTAGTAAAATCTGAGTGAGGAGAGTTTCTAGTGACATAGGGTGAAGGCTGAGGCAAGACCACACTAGCTTTTTTTTAGGAGAAGGTCTTTGTGGGAGACTATTTTCAATAGAATAGAGTAGGTAGACACAAGCTTCTGGGATGTTGCAGTGAAGGCATTAAGAGAAATGTCAGGCTTCAGAAACTATAAATCATCTTCATCATGTCATTCACCTGTGTCTAGGACAAAGAAAAATGTCACCCTGTACACAAGTCTGTCTTCTTCCATCAGGCCACTTACCCCTTCTAGAGTCTTTCCTCCAGCCACTACTGATTTCTTTTTCTTTTTCTGTACTACCAGGGTAAATCCAGGGACTCTGTACCACTGAGCTATACCCCCAGCCCTTTTTTGAAATTTTGAGACAGGGTCTTGCTAAGTTGCCCAGGCTGGCCTCAAACTTGCATTCTTTTTGCCTCAGTCTTTTGAGTAACTGGGATTACAGGCATGTACCACTATGCACAGCAAACCACACTGGTTTTTGAGTGGTCCTCTAAAGAGGCTGGGTGCCTTCCTGCCTCTGCTCCATCTGCTCAGGTATCTGTCACTGTTACAGCCTTCTCTTCTAGGCTCTCATGCCCACTCAGACCACATACAACTAAAGTGACCTTGCCCCTGAACTCAAGATCAATTCCCTTCTATTTTCTTCTTACCAATTCTCCTGAGACTTGGATCTGATCTTGTTGCTTTTCACCCCAAAATCTTTAGTGGCTGCTTTGGTTGTAGAGTAAGGTCCAAATGACAAAGCATGGCCTTTAACATCTACAGCTTGCTCAGCTATGCTTGAGTCCTCACTATTTGAAGAATGTGCCATGCTTATGCCTCAAAGCTGTTTTACTGTTCTCTCTGCCTAAACTGCGGAACAGATGAAAGGGTGAGCTTTTCCCCCTGCTCCCTCTAAGCTCCCACCCTGGGCACTGGGATTGAACCCAGGGGTGTTCTACCACTGAGCCACACCCTAGTCTTTTTATTTTTTTATTTTGAGACAAGGACTCACCAAGTTGCTAGACTAGCCTCAAATTTGCAATTTTTCTGCCTCAGCCTCCTGAATTGCTGGTATTACAGGTGTGTGCCTCCATGCCTGGCAAAGGGTGGGCTTTTGTGTAAATACTTCAGTGTAAATTTCAGCTCTGTTGAAATTTGGTGAACTTGGGCAAGTTTTTTTTCTCTTTCTTTCCCTCTCCCTTTCTCTCTCTCTCTCTAACCCAGGACCTCGTGCATGCTAGGCAAGTGCTCTACCACTGAGTTAACATCACCAGTCCCTTGGGCAAGTTTCTTTACCTCTCTGAATCTCATTTGCTTATCAGGTGGTAATATTCATTTTGCAAAGATGTTCTGATATGATATGATATAATGCACGAGAAGTGGCCACTTATGGTAGGTGCTCAAAAAATGGTTGCTTTTCTTACTCCAACAAAGTAAAGTTCAGCTCCAAAGACTTACTCCGAAAAGTTGTCCCAGGTTCTCCCATTCCCAGGGTTGTGTGACCTGTTCCCTCATGGGAATACATTTGGGGAGGGTGATAAATAACAGACTTTTGGCATTTTTTAAAAAAATATTTTTTAAGGAATATTAAGATATATAAGATACATGAAGGAGAATCTGAACATCTAAAATGTTTGAATAAAGATGCAGTAGGAAAATAAAAACAGACTAAAGGAAAAGCAATATTAAAAGACACATAAGTTTCAAGTTTTATAGAAAGTAAATATTCTATTAACCTAAGTCAATTGTTTAGAAACTTTTATGTAGATCTGACAGCAAATGATGGTACACAATCAAAATTTCATAAATTACTTCAAATAATTTGAAGGAAAGTTTGGCTTAATCTACTCTGTATGAAGGCATTTCTAAAAGAGAAAATAAATCATTTCCTCCTCAAAAAAAATATTTTTTAGTTGTCAGTGGACTTTATTTATTTATATATGGTGCTGAGAATTGAACCCAGTGCCTCACACATGCTAGACAAGGGCTCTCCCACTGAGCCCCAGCCCCAGCCCTAGCATCTTTTTATTGTGGTAAAAAAAATACAGCATAAAATTTACAATTTTAACCATTTTTAAGTGTACAGTTCAGTAATGTTTGGTATGTTCACTTTGTTGTGGAACATCCATGAAACAGCTCTCCTTAGCCGCAGGGTAGTATTTCTATCTGTCCTTATCTAAGAAAAGACTCATAAGCAGCTTACCTATGAGCACCTTACCAATGAGGCTAACTTGCAGTAGCCTTTGTGTTTGTTTGTCCCCTCCACTAGATTTTGGGCTCACGATTAGGACCTTGCTTCATGTTTCCATGTATTAAATGCATGTCATGTAGTAGGTACTAAATATGTGTGGAGTTGAATGTGATATTTACCGTTTATTGCCTTATTTCCTACTTCACTTTGTCATGTGTGTATGTAAGCCTGTGTGATATAGTTTATAAATCCTAAGAGGGCAGGAGTTATGTCCAAAAGCATGCCAGGCAACAGAAGAAAGAACTCAGATTCTAGTTAGTAGACCTGGGTTCAAATCTTGTGAATTCAACTTGTTTGAGCACTGAATTCAACTTGTTTGAGCACTGGTTATCTTTACTCTAAACTGAGGATGTTAATACAGACCTCAGAAAGTTATTGGTGTTAAATGTGATAATATATGTAAGGCATCTTGTATATACAGTACATGCATCCTTTGAGTGTTAGTCTGTCACATAATAGATATTGGTAAATACTTGTTTTAGGTTGGTGGTTGGCAGAAATGGCACTGTGAATGGTTGGTTTTTAAAGAGCAAGAGCAAGGGCCAGGGATGAGTGAGATAATGAGTATCCTTCCTATCCTATTAACCCTTGTTAGGTGTATAATGAGTTCATTTTGCCTTCGGAGAGAGATGGATTCCTGAGTCGGATTCGGGAGATTATCCAGCGAGTAGAGACCCTGTTGAAGAGAGATAATGGCCCCTCCGAGTCTGCTGAAGATGCACTAAGCCCCCAGGTCAGGCCCTTCTGGACATCTCCAGGAAGAATGGATTTTCTGCCAGAGTTCACTACTCTTTCCTCCACACTCCCCTTGGATTAACTCCTCTTTACCTCTGGGACCTTGAAACAGTGGCTCTTACCCCATTTGAAAATATGATGAAAGCCATGGACTCTTGTTAAAAAAAAAAGTGTTGAATGCATACTTTTCTTTTAGCTCATTATTTTGAAATAATTTCAGACTTTCAAAGTTGCAAGAATTATTCAGAGAATTTGCAATTTGCCAATTTTTTGTTTCATGACATCAGCATTATCATTCTTTCTTCCTCTCTCCCCTCCCTGTTTGTATGTATGTGTATGTACATATAAATATACATAATTTTCTTCTGAGCCACTTGAAAGTAAGTTGCAGACCTCATGCCCCTTTACCCCTAAATATTTCAGCACATACTTTTGAATCCCTTGAAACTCATGTCTGGACTCTAGAGGCTCATAGATCCTTGCTTAAAAATCCCAGTCTGAAACCTTCCATCTAAGACTCAGCTTTCCCCACTGTGACTGTGCCACCACACCTTTTTTTCCCCTTAGGAGGAGCCACCACCACTGCCTGCCCTCTCAGGCCCCTTCCCAGACCCATCCACTGGTATGTACTGTGTATCCCATTCTTATGGTGGCTTCTGGGAAGGACATAGGGCATGGGGGATTGGAATCTCAACACTTACTTCTCCCCACTCAGCAGAGCCCCAGTACAGCACCTTCCCAGAACAGAGAAGCTGGGCAACCTTCTCCACTTCTCCTGGAACACCCTTGTCTCCTGGAAACCCATTTTCCCCTGGAACCCCCATCCTTCCAAGTCCCATTTTCCCCATCATTTCTCCTCCGTGTCATCCTAGCCCTTTCCCACTCTCCCAGGTCTCCTCAAATCCCGCTCTACACTCCCCCAGCTCTCCACTTCCATTCTCCTCCAGTGCATCCCAGTTTCCAATTCCATCCTCTCCATTTCCTCTGAGTTCTCTCTCCACCAGTTCTCCACCCCCATTCTCTCCTAGTTGTTCCCAGCTCACTCTTAATCCTCCTTCTTTTCCTCTCTGCCCCTCCCCTTCTCCCCTCCCCTCCACTACAGCAGCCCCTCTCCTCTCTTTGGCTAGTGCCTTCTCTCTGGCTGTGATGACTGTGGCCCAGTCCCTGCTGTCCCCCTCCCCGGGGCTCCTTTCCCAGTCTCCTCCAGCCTCTCCTGATCCACTACCTAGCCTGTCCACTGCCCTTGTTCCTTGTGACCAGGAGAGCCTTTCACCTCAAGCAGCTGAGATGGAGAGTGAGGTAAGTAGGAAATCAAGAGGGATGATTAGGGGGGTCTCCATTCTGGATCATTTCCCTCCTCATGAACCCACACTTTGTAGGCCTCCCCAAATCCTGCTTGGCCACTCCTGGGTGAAGCCAGACTGGCACCCATCTCTGAAGGTGAGGCCTCTGCCTGCCCATTATTCCCAATCTGCTTTATATCCTACCAGATTTCTCTCTCTCTTCATTCTCTCCTTGTCTTCCTGCAGAGGGAAAACCACAGCTTGTTGGGCGTTTCCATGTGACTTCATCTAAGGAACCAACGGAATCTCTTTCCATGCAACCAACATCCCCAACTCTCTCCAATTCTGTAAAGCTTCCATCTCCTCAGCTGACCTCAGAGAGTTCAGACACAGAGGATGGTGCTGGAAGTGGGCCTGAGACCAGGGAGGCTCTGGCGGAGAGTGACAGGGCAACTGAGGGTCTGGGGGATGGAGTTGAGGAGGAAGGGGATGATGGGAAGGAACCTCGAGTTGGGGGCAGTCCCCCACCCCTGATCCATCCCAGCCCAGTGTGGATGAACTACTCCTACAGCAGCCTGTGTCTAAGCAGTGAGGAGTCAGAAAGCAGTGGGGAAGATGAGGAATTCTGGGCTGAGCTGCAGAATCTTCGGCAGAAGTGAGTCTGGGGAGAATGGTGGAGCAACAGGTGAACTTGGAGGAACAACATGGGAGAGTTCTCTCATGCCCTTGGTACATCCTCAGGCACTTGTCAGAGGTGGAAACATTACAGACACTACAGAAAAAGGAAATTGAGGACTTGTACAGCCGACTTGGGAAGCAGCCCCCACCTGGTATTGTGGCCCCGGCAGCTATGCTGTCCAGTCGCCAGCGTCGCCTCTCCAAGGGCAGTTTCCCTACCTCGCGCCGCAACAGTCTGCAGCGCTCAGAGCCCCCAGGCCCTGGTGAGACTGCAGCTGCACAGTTTCCATCTTTCCTAAAACCCCTTCCTTATCAATTCAGTTTTCTTGTAAGGACCTAGGGGTCTGCCTCTTGATTTGAGGGGACTAGCCTCCCTCTTCTCACTGGCCCTTCCCTCACTTAGTGCTCTCTCTCCCCCATCCTGCTCCCAGGCATCATGCGAAGGAACTCCCTGAGTGGCAGCAGCACCGGCTCCCAGGAGCAGCGGGCAAGCAAAGGGGTGACATTCGCCGGGGATGTTAGCAGGATGGTGAGGGTGGACCCAAGGGAGGGAGAGCCCAGGGAATGGTAATTGGCAGCACTTTTGCCTTCTTCTCACCTTCAAGTTTTCTTCAGTGCTTTTTTTTTTTTTCCTTCCAGTGAATTCAGAACAGAAGCCATTTGTCTCCCCCAACACCATGGCTCAACATGGTGCTTGTGCTCTCTGAACCTGATGCTTTTCTGACCAACTCAACTCGGCAAGAAAGACTCCAGTACTGAGGGGCAAACAGCCAGGGTGGCATGGAGAATGCAGTTGTTTTTTATGAGTCAAACATGGCAACTGTTTGCTTTGTGGAGGTGTCAGTTCTACAGCTACCATCTTCATTTCCAACCCCTCCCCAGCCAAAGGCCAACCACTAAGCAATCCCACACAAGCTCGGATGCTTCTAGAGGGCTCACTCCCAGATGGAAGAGTGTAGATGGTGTGCTCACATCAGAATTAGTGGCAGGCAATAAAAAATGCTGGAAATAAGGACTGAATCTCTGTTATGTTTTAGAACTGAGGGCAAAGTCTTGTGCACTGAGTCAGGGGAGGATTTAAAGGGACTCTCTTTCACAATGGGAGGCAGAGTGGAAGCTGCCGAGCAGGCTTCCTGCCACAGAGGTCATGAGGAAATTGCAAGGTCAGTGATCCACTAGACCAAGCTAACATCCCCTTCAGATCCCACCCTAAGCCTGTAAAGGGCAGTACCAGTGAAAATTAAAAGACAAGGCTTGTTTTTTTTTTGTCTCACATCCTTCATCCATTTACCTAAGGATAAGAAAAGGCAGTAAAGTTTGAGTAAGTTTGTTCTTGAGGGTAGAGGGCAGAAAAGTGACCTTCCTTCCCCTAAGACCTGGTTCAGTCTCAAACAGCCCAATGATCTCTCCCTTAAATCAGGCGGAAAGATCTCAGGAAAAAGTGATTCTAGTTAAACATTTACAGCTCCCTGAGGCAATGCCACTGTGGTAACTGCTGCCCATGGAGCTTTCCAGCATTAAGTACCATGCATCTCTCAGCCCCCCACCCCAGCATAGCTCCAGGAGAAATGACTCAGTTTATTATTCTTAACTTAACCTTACCTTTTCCACTTTAGCTTCTAACACTGCACAGAAGTGCCACCCCCACCCCAAACAATTGGGCCTCTGGAAAGTGAAGGAGGCTAAACCACAGACAGTTTGAGAAAAGCCAATGTTGCATACGCTCAATCAAGGAAAAAACAAAAAGGAGTCACTGTACACAGTGCATAGGAAACGGACAAGATTCCATTGAGAATGGCCAAATGCATAGTCTCTTGAGTTCAATCATGATCCAAAGTCAGTAAGTAGGCCAGTGAGACTGTGAGCAGGCAATTTCTACAGGATCATGGGGTATCATCCATCATGTGAAGGGGCTCCACCAGATTGGAGATAGATAATGCCCGTCCGCCCATTCAGGGTCCTGATGCCCTCGCAAGAGCTCGGGCTCTGGCAGCTTTAGCCTCGTCTTCCAGCTCATCAAGGAAACGCTCCTGGGACACTGAGTAGAAGGTGTATCCATCTAGAGAGGTGGGTTCAGGAAGTTACTTGGAATATAGATTTTCCCTTCTCCTATCACCCTTTATTCTCCCAAATCAGTGATTACAGAATCTCACACTGCTCTTTTTGAACCCTGACCTCAACAACTCCCTCATCATTCCCAAATCACATTTTAAAAGAACCTTAAAAATAGAACATCTGGTATTAACCCTATTTCACCCAAACATTAAATGCTTGGTTCAGTCCTCCCACACGCTTCTGTTCCCCTGCCCTTATCAGGACGGATACAAATAGCTAACACCACGGCCCCGATGCCCAGGCCGGTCACGATGTTCCGGATCCGCCGCTGTGGCAGCGTTTTCTGCCACTGGGCAAGCTGCACCTGCTGCATGAACTGCAGTTGCGCGGGAGTCAGTTTTTCCCGGGTCGGGTCGATGCGCTGAGCAAAAGGAGCCTTTCCGTTCTTGGCATCCAGAGGGTCACCACCACCCGGCGCCGCCATGTTGCCGCTCCGCCCTTCGCAGTGCCGGAGTGCGGGGCTCGCTGGGAAAGTAGTCCTTGCCCACCGCCAGGAACGCTGGGAGTTGTAGTCCTTATTCACTTTCCCGGGAAGAGCCGAGGCTTTGGGCCCTAGGGCGAAGGCCCGGAATGGCGGGAAGGGGCTGTGCTTTCTGATTGGCTGAGGGTCCCGCGGCCGGCCGTTGGAGCGGGGAAAAACTGTGGAGAGCTCGAGGCTGTGGTGGGAATTAGGTTTTCCTCAGACTTGAGGCGGGGACAGACACATTGGAAGGGGACGAGGAACCCAGGGTGTGGCTGAAGGCTTCTGAGAGAAGCTAAGGGGGAGAATTTATGGATCCAGTGAACTGTCCCAGGGTCCCCAAAGGCTTCTGAATATGGATGGACCTATGAGGCCAAGATTGAGCTCCCTCGGTGACTTGCAGTTTGGGGCTGTTGCCACAGAAACTATTGAAGACGCCCTGCTTCACTTGGCCCAGCAGAATGAGCAAGCAGTGCAGGCGGCTGGGGGACGCCTGGGCAGCTTCAGGGAGACCCGGATCGTGGGTGTGGATGCAGGGCCTGGGAGTGGGGTTGATGGGAGCCTTTGAGGCACCAACTTTAAGATTCTTTTAATTTTATTTATTCAAAAAAAAAAATTTTTTTTTTTTGTTACTTTGTACCTGCTTTATTGCCGGGTGCTAGGGCCATAGTGATGAACTTCTCCAAGACCTTCACTTCTCCAACATATATAGAGTACTTAGACATTTTGCCTGCCATAGAAAGAAGAAATAGGTGGCCCTTGTTCTCAAACTATGTGCAATCTTTGGGGGGTTATTTGGACAAATAGGTAAATGACTAGGTACAAGCTTGGTTAGATAAGTGACATAAGAGATAAACTTTTAGGGGGATTGAAAGGAGGGATGGGGTAATAGGGAGAATTAAGGAGTGGTCTAGGCATTGTGACATTTGAAGTAGACCTTAAGGAAGGTTGGTTGGTGAAGGTGGAGGAGGGGGACAGCCTTTCTACCAAAATGGGATAGCAAGAATAAAGTGAAGGAAGCTTAGGATGTGTGGGGGTCAGAGTAGCCCACCAGCCAGAGTTCATGGAAGAGTTGTTGGATTGAAGACATAAAGGTAGTTTGGAGAAGTTCCATGTAGAAGTTTGAATGTCAAGGGGGAGGATTTTATATTTAATAGGAAGATGTTGGAGGTTTTGAAATAAGGCAGTGGTATGACTAACTTTTGCCTGGGCAAAACTCATTTTGGATGTTATGTAAAGGATGAATTTGACTAGAGAAAGATGGGAAGTAGGCAGACCAGAGGAGCCTAGGTGACAGGATGGAGAAAATGACAAAGGAGGATGGATTAAAAACATTTAGGCAAAATCTAGGGTTCTTCCCTAGGTGACTTAAAGACATGAAGAAGGAAAAATGACTCTGCCAAAGGATTGAGTCTGAGAGACTGGGAGTATAATGGTGCCATTAACACACACCAAAAACCAAAAGAGGAAGATCTGTGACTTTGAGAAAAATAATTGCTTTGGTTTTGGATTTATTGAGTTTAAGGTACTTGAAGAACATCTAGAGGAAATTTTCTAACAGGCTGTTTTAAAAAGCAGATCAGGGGCTGGGGAGAGAGCTCAGTGGTAGGGTGCTTTCCAATCATTTTGTTAAATTTTTAAAATTTTTTAGTTGTAGTTGGATATAATATATTTAATTTATTTATTTTTATGTGGTGTTGAGGCTCTAATGTAGGGCCTTGCCCGTGCTACGTGAGGGCTCTACTGCTGAGCCATAATCCCAGCCCCCAATCATTTAAAAAAATTTTTTTAAAAAAAATTTTTAGTTGTAGATGGACACAATATCTTTATTTTATTTATTTTTATGTGGTGTTGAGGCTCTAATGTAGGGCCTTGCCCGTGCTACGTGAGGGCTCTACTGCTGAGCCATAATCCCAGCCCCCAATCATTTAAAAAAATTTTTTTAAAAAAAATTTTTAGTTGTAGATGGACACAATATCTTTATTTTATTTATTTTTATGTGGTGCTGAGGATCAAACCCAGGGCCTCACACATGCGAGGCGAGCAGCTCTGCCTCTGAACCATAACCCCAGCCCCCCCCCCATCATTTTTTTAAAATATATTTTTTTAGTTGTTGATGGACCCTTATTTACTTATTTATAAGTGGTGCTGAGAATTGAACCCAGTGCCTCACACATTCGAGGTAAGCATTCTACCACTGAGCCACAAGCCCAGCCCCTCTTACCAATCATTTAAAACACACACACACACACACACACACACAAAGAAGTAGGTCAGAACTAGGAATAAAGGTTTGCAAGTTATCTTCATAATGATATTGTTGAAACTGTGGGAGAGGATGAATGTGTAGGAGAAAAGAAAAGCAGGTCAAGGACATTTCCTTGGGAAACATTTTGTGTTGAGGGGATTAGAATAGGTGGAAGAGTTGTGAAGGGAATGGAGTGGTTGGGGATACAGGAGCAGAAACAAGGACTTTTGGAAGCCAAGAGGAGAGTTTCCAGAAAGATGATGTCAGCAGGTTCAGACATTTTAGGAATATCAACAGGAATGAAGGTTGCAAAGAAAACCATGATATTTCACAATCTGGACATATAATCATTTCAGCAATTTGGGGAAAGTAGAAGCCAAATTGCAGGAAATTAGGGAGTGACAAAAGTGGAAAGAGCGGGTGTGTAAGAAATTCAGCAGTGATAGGAAGGAGAGAGATGGAGACTCAGTTTATGAGCATGGTAGGGGAGCTTCTTTTTATTTAATAGCAGATATGAATATGTTTGTAAGCAGAAGAGGTGGAGCCAGTATTGAGGGAGAGATGTAACCATCATCTATTCCTCCTAAGCCAAGCTGTTTTCTTGGAAAATTAAAATGGAAACCAGAAATAAATGCCTAGATTATTCAGACCAAAACCAAAACAAATGTAAACATACACACACATGTGGGCATGCATGTGCATGCGCGCACACACACAAACACACGTGCGCGCTCATACACACACTCCCCAAAACTGCTAAGAAATAAAGCCTGAAGTCCAGACTGGCTAGTAATACACAATTAGGGAAATTTTTTTCTGAATTGTTTAAACTAATTCTATTCTGCATTGGACATTGCTAGCAAAGCTGTAGTCTGTAATAAGGTTTTGTACATATATGTGTATAATGTGTGTTGGGTAGATCTTTAAACTGATCATGTGTGTTTTTTTAAAATAGTTTTTTTTAAGAGAGATTTTTCTCTTAAGACAAGTGATAATTCAACTACATGTGTACAGATTGAGCATCCCTAATCCCCAAACACAAAACTTTGAGTGCCAACATCATGCATAAAAAATTTTGGAGCATTTCAGATTTTCAGATTAGGGATGCAAATATTACAAAATTCAAAAAGCCTTGAAGTCTGCAATGCTTCTGGTCCAAAGCATTTCAGATAAGAGATACTCAATCTGTA